GTGGATCATCTTCAGCTGCCCCTTCTAATGATGAATTACAAACTCAAGTTAATGAATATTTTATCAATTACTTGGTTTGTTCCTTTTATGATTAACTTGTTAGGTATCATTTTTCTTTTAAAATAATTTCATCTGTTACAGGTATCTTCATTGACATCACAAGTCAATGACATGACATCACAAGTCAATGAAATGAAAGAAATGATAGCATTTATGTTGCAAAATTATCAAGGTTAATTGCCTTTAAAGTTTGCCGCATTTCAACCATCGGTAATAATTACTAAATTTATTTGTATGATTTTTTAAAAAAATATATAACCAACTAATTATTATGTTATATTGTAGGTATCTAATCAAGGAAGCGTGTCAAACGATGAATATAATGAAGATGAAGAAAATCAGACATGTATGAACAATTAGTTATGTTTGGATTGATATGGTATGAAGTTTTGAGGATGCAAATATCACCTGCCATCCTTTTAGCTGTGTATGTATTGATAGCTGAATTTTTCCTAGTTGCCCTATAAGCATGATTGTTTTTTTTTTCCTTTTCCACCTTTTTAGAGTTTGACTTCTGTTTGATGCTTAGTTAAGATAAGCTGACACTATTTGAACTTGTTTTGTATTGAGGAGATTGCATTAAACATAATTCAAGAACTGATTCTTTAAGTACGCCTATGTCTATGTTTTATATTAAATTAAAGTGCGTAAGTCACAGTGCATTTGAATATTGTAGTATAGTTTTAAAATTATGAAGTATTAAAATGTGAAATGGAAGGTAATGATGAATATGATAGGAAATGTGATTGTGTAGTGTAAAAATTCACGACAGCAGAGTGAGTCTGTCTGAAATAGTGGTTGGCCCCTCAAAGCAGCTATGGTAGGAGCTGGTTATGCAATGTTCATAGTAGATATAGCCTATGAACATAGTATGTGTTTTGGAGCCATCTTTTCGCATGACCAAATCCTTCAATTTAAATTGGTACAAGTGTACTCCTTGCAGAGTGCTGGGAATTAGCCTTAATTATGGGACCATCTCATTATTACTCCACAACTCTACATGTATCTTTTGACCCTCTGAATCCTTCCTCATCATCTTTTACTCTAACCATCCATTATGTTTCGTTCCGTTTGTTTATACAAAATAAGTTATATTTCAAGTTCAAAGGGTAAGGAAACGAAATCGTGTGAAGAGGTAAATGAGTACTGTTTGAATAGGCCCTCATTCCAAGCAAAGTGGACCATGAAAAAGTATAAAATAGTTACGTGTGTTTGTAACCTGTAAAGGGACTTGCCTCTTCCACCCTGATGTTATTATTAGGCACAACTTTTTATCTTGTGAGGTTTTAGGGTTTGTATTTTCAACATAAAAAATATGACAGCCTTCCAAATTTTAATCAAATAAGTAGAACTTCATAAAAGGTAAAAATACTACTATGCTTTCTCAATCTGAAGAAATAATTATAAAAGAGATAAATGTTGAACTGTTTATACACTATACATGAGATAAGAAAATCTTTTGAATTAAGTACATGTTTTGTTCAGTTCATAGAATAATGCATAAAACTGAGAATAAAATGGAATTATAAATTAGTTTTCTAATTATCATTTGTTATATTCATAAATCTGTTGCGTGATTTTTTTCTCTATCTATGTACACGTCAAATTTTCATTAATGAATAATGACACTATAACAAGACTTAGACATATCACGAATTGGTGAAGTTGAATTAGATATAATAAGGCATTCCTTGAGAGAAAGTTCAGTTTAGAACTGAATTAAAACTTGAAAGGTTTATCCTAACCAAACATTGGAGCAAAGTTCATATTTATATGAGCCATTCAGCAAAGGTTTTGATTCAAAATATAACTCTACAATGACACGGAAGGCTCGGGGCAATGAGGTTTTCAATGGGAAGTACACAACAAGAACCACAGCCAAAAGCTTTCTCCTGGTACCCTTCACTCTTCTTCTCATCATGCTCCCTCTTTCTCTCATGAGGAACGAATCAATTCCTGAGGTGTCTTCTGCAATTGTCAACAACAGTTTAAACAACACAAAAATTTGAGCTATCACTACATTTTCGGCGTTTTTGAAGGAAACCCCTAGAAATAGGGACAGTTTTAAGAAACATCGGCTATTTCCGACAGTTTTCAAAAAAACCCTGCTATTTTCGACAGTTTTGAAAAACACCTGCTATTTCCGGCAGTTTTCTACCCCCGGTAATGTTTAGTGGCGTTGCTTTTGCCAGAGCTTTTTGGAACCGCGGGAAACGAATTTCCTAGGGGTTAAAATCGCCGAAAACGCTAAAAATAACCCCTGGAAAAATTATATATTTTTGTAGTGGTATATATAGTTAACATTTTTTACGTGTCTCCAAAATGACATTTTTTATGGCATAAATCTTTTCAATGTGTCATACGTTGTTGAATTCACATATATTTAACTTCTCTCTTCATATTTATGTCTTTTTTCACACATCAATTTATTTTCTTATAATTACTTTTACAATTAATTATTCAGTTTTAAAATTGTATCTCTTTAATTTATTTTAAATACCTAATTATAATATTTTATCATATTTTATTCATAATTTTTTACAATAATAATATATTTTCCTTTATGTGTACTGAACAGGAGGAAACGAAGCAACGGATAATATCACAGATATTTTTATTTTAAATTTATCTTGCGTACTTAAGAATATACAGTTCAAATTAAATATAATTCAGACATTAAAGGAATCAAACAAATTATATAAATTAAACATACAATTTAATATTAATTTATATATGATAATTGGAATTAGAAGTCATCTTTCAATTGCCTAAACATTATAAATAATAATTCAAATTGTGAATCATTTTTAAATTGCATCAAAAGGTGAGGATAGTATCTTGTTTATGCCATAGGATATGAATTAAAACATAGAAAACGTAATATAAAACCAAAAAGACTAAGTAACGTGTTAAACACATAAATGAGAACTCATCTTATAACTACATTCCGAATTAGGTTTTCTCACTAACATGCATGTGGCCAGAATTTCATATTCTAGATGGTGCCCATTATATTTATTCCATACAATGTGCTGGAAGAATTCCGAAAGATCTTATGAACTTATGTTGTGGAGAATAAAGCTTACTTTAACTTTTTAGTTATTCCCTCAAATAATTGGATTTCGGTAAAATCTTGAACAGAGTAATCCTATTATAAAAACTCTCACTATACATTTAATCATGTGAAAAATTCAAGTTATATTTTTACACCTAAAAAATTGTTAAATATTAATAATTATTTTAAACATTTTTAACTTTCTTAATAAATAAATTTTAAATCTAAATTAACCTAGGTGAAATATCTACTTATTTTATACATTATGAAATCTTCTTATCTTTATATATGTGATTTCCAACATTTTTTATTGTGTCGAAGTATATACACATTGAACATTGAACTAAATAAAAATGGATGATTCAATTACAAATGACACAATAAATCTAACAAAAAATAAATTTTATTAAAACATATTTTAAATGATTATAAAATTAATAGGTAAGATTAGATCCAACAAATAAAAAAATCTTGCTAAAACAAATTTTAGATAACTTAAAAAAAAACTTCAAAATCTTATTCAATTCTATTTTATAAAGTGAGTGAAATTTGTAGTCATTTAATATACCAACTTGTCTATAATTAATATGAAATCTCTACTTAGAGAGTTATCTTAAAAAAATCTAGGTGCTAGTGTTAATCATTGGGCTTGTAAGTGGAAAGAACGGTGGATCTAAACTTAGGACGAATATATTGATGGAACGAAAACAGAAGAAAGAAAACTGAACTGAAGTATATGTTCTGTGTATATTAATGACAGCAGCATGCATGTACAGGTGTTTATATAAGGGAAAAAACAAAGTAACAGATGTATATTCTTTTAGTGTTACAACTGTCTTGGCTTATTAGTGTATATGCTAATAAGTTTTCGATTTGACAGAAGAACTTGGAATTAGATTCCACTTTTGTCACTTTGAATATTGAGAATAAATGATAGCATGCATATGTATTTGTCTTTCCTATTTATAGTTATCAATTCTCAGCTACAAATTTCAACCTTGTGGCATTTACTTGAGTGTATCCAAAAATACAGAGCAAAAAATGATGAGATCAGGAGAATACTACACCCATGTTTCAGAAGTTGAGAGGGAGTCTAGGACTGTTGAATACCCTAATGATGGAGCTCTTTCCTTCAAGAAGGTTGTTTACGAGGAAAATAAGGTTGAGGAACCCCACCACCACCACCACCTCTTCAGGCACCACCAGCAGCCAGAGACTCGTGAGACTGTGAAAGTTGTAGAGTATGAGCAAGTTCCTGAGAGGCGTGTTGGTGAAATTGTCTACGAAGAGAATAGGACAGTGTGGCCTTGAATTGCATGCTAGGGTTCAACTTCAACTTCGTATTACCATGTGCCTATTTTGCTAAGGAGACTATTTCTATTATAAAAATCACCACTGTGTGATTGATTTAAATAAATTACTCCTTAGTTATCACTTTTCTTATAAGTCTTGTATAATTTCAATAAAGTTACGTTACTATATCTGTTGTGTGTACAAAGTACGTGTGCTAGCTTGCATGCATGACGATTTGTTGTTTATTCTGGAACAGGTCCTTAAAATAACTGAATAAATCAATCATGGCTCAAGTGTAACCTAATTAATGGTATATATACCCACATAAACTGTATGATTTCTTAAAAACTTTTAACACTCGTTTTGGAAGATATATATCACACAATGATTTTTATCGAATCAACGTGCGATTGAGAGATACACACAATCTGTAGCCAATGGGTTAATTTATTATAATACTATCATATTTATTTTTATATATATTGAGGGAGAGGGGGGTAATTCTAAAACTATTATCATCAAATACATTTTCTTTTCAAATGTTAATAAAAATTACATTTTTGTTATTTTCTATTTTTATTTTGTGAGTTTGTTAATTTGTATTATACCTTTTTAAATTTTACTACTCCATCTTGATATTTTTACTTACTATATAAAGGACCACGTGTGTGTATAAGTATGGAGCAATTGTAAGAGCTCCTATGTGTACAAGACAGGACATTCATGGTTGGCAAGGGAGGCCAACCACAATATCTCAACAGAAGTAGTATGAAAACCAGCACACAGATGTGGGTGACTTTTCTCTTTCCCAAAATCATTCTAAACTCACGTTTTGGATATAACATTTGCAAAGCCCAATGGCTGAACTGCATGATGAGGATGTATATGTTAGACATTGCAGATATTATAACATAAAAGATCTTCAAGATTACCATTTCTAAGAAGACAGAGATAGGGATGACTACGGACATAGATACTATCTACCAACTACTTGTGTTTAAAACATATTTGTAAGTATTTTAAAACTCATCAGTATCCTACAAACATTTAAAAGAAAAAGATATTTTATAATTTTTAAAATAAAATTACAAAATATATATATATATATATATATATATATATATAATATATATAATATAACATAAATTAAATTAAATACAAATTAAAATATAATTTTAATGAAATTTAACTTAATAAATATAAATTAAATTTTAATTTTAATTTTTTATGGGTGACAAATACTGTACGGATAATATAATATTCACACTCGCTTTGTTTATAAGCGGATATTAAAATATCCACGATGTACGGATAATAAATATCCCTAGGTACCAACTATCCATCACGAATTTTATATGTGGTTACCCGCGAATAGAGGTATTTTTGTCATTCCTTCTATTAAAAGGACTACCAAACCTCTCAGCTTTCCAAAATTAATAAGCGGTCTATGCAAAATGCAAGCCATAATTATCCCATATCAACCTAGAAAGAGGCTAAGGCTATTACGAATGCTTATATCAAGTTGCATTTTGCAAATCCACTGGACAATGCACAAGAAGCCGCTGAAAGAAGAAGAGCCCCAAGATCACCAACCCGCGAAGACCCCGCTCAAGCCGCAACAAAAGCTGCATAAAATACCCCTCAACAACCATAGAAAGCAACACCAACAACATTTAACCCAACTTATTTATTGTTCTAACAACAGCAAAAAGCAATCTATAGTATCATAAATCATATATCATACATGTAGCATCAATTCTCTTCTAGCCATAGGGCATAGATATCCCTTCACCAAATCCTTTATATTTTGTAACCCAATTCTAACACAACAAACCAATTTCCTAACAAAATATGCCATGCTTCCATAAACACTATGTCACAAAGCACATCATCCTCATAATTGCCTATATAATGTCACCCTCACTTGTTGGTTCACATTCAAATCCCCTCTTTCATTTAGCCAATGAAGTTGTAAGGTTTTGGATGAGGTAAGATTATGAGAACCAACTTTTCTACCAACCTTGTGCTATAACAATTACAACATGAGTCATTATCCTCAATAAGAGAACATGTGTTATTTAAAAATTTACATATGGTATGAAAGATGTTCTCTTTTTAGGTTGGGATTTGATGGTTAGGTTGGTTGTTAATGACTCTTCTCATCATGAGAAAATCTTCATCACAAGGGTAGAAATCCTCCTTTCTTTCACCTTTACTTTCTCTTGTGCCATTTCTTCTTCTTCTTGGCTATTATATGAGTCAACACCCCTTAAGATCATGGTCTTTTAGGAAAGACATTGATATGCAATATGACCTCTACCTAGACATTTGAAACATTTGATATCACTTATGTGCATGTGGGATGATGATCTCTCCCTTAGTTTCTCTTTCTCTTTTTCTCTCCTTAAACTCTTAGAAGGTTCCTCTTGTTTGACTTGTTTTTCCTCCCTCTTGTAGTTTTTCTTTACATAGGAGCTCAGTGGGAAGCTTTCAATCCTTTTCATAAATGTTGTTGCTCTACTTTTATGCAAATTTTTGTACCAAATCATTGAGATCTTGGTAGGGTAACAACTTCATTCTATCTTTAATGTCAAGATTAAGACCATTAAGAAATTTAGAGATGATGGTCACTTTTTCTTTCCTAATTCATGTTAAGACAAGATCGTCTATAAGACTGAACTGTCTAAAATCCTCATATGTTTTGAAGTTTAAGAAACAACAATAAACGAAATGAGCATATGATAAAGTGATATATTTGAAAATAATATAGTTAAAAGATAAGAGTTTTGTGAAAAAACTTTATGAAATCTAAGTTTTAAGAAAAACTTTAGTAAACGCATTAATATTTGAGTGAACGCATTACCAAACAACTTCCTCACAAAATATATCAATGTGCAATATGAGAGTCTTGTTAAACGCGCTCGTATTATACTTTGCTAACTCTCACTATAATGTACAAAATGATGTTTTTGGTAAACACGCTAAAAGATATAAACATCGTTCCAAATACATGTGTTCAAAGACATTTTGCTAAACGCTCTCTTGAACTAAATGAAGATCACTAAACAAAGCATTGTTAGGAAAAGTCTTGCATAGACCAAACGATACCTTGTACCAAACGACGTTTTCATCCAATGATGAAACCCTTATATACGAGTCTGAAGTGGACGTTAGAGACAAAGAAGACATTCACAAAAATATTATCTCTATCAAAAGTCGTGCGCCAAAGAGTTCGTACAACCTACTTTTGATAAAATATTGAAAAACATGTCTACTCTAACAATTGACTTTAACTTACGATTGCTACTTCTGAAAAGGCTAAGAAGATTTGAAGATAAAAACAAGTACTATCTAATGGACATTTTCTTGAAGCTTATAAATTGAAGATCCTTTAAGAGAAAATCAAGAGAATAAGCACGCGAATACGAAAGAAATCATCTGAAAAGAAAAGCAAGCTCAAAAGAAAAGAAAATACTCTCAAGCTTCATAGGATTATAAGCTTTACATTTGTACGAAGAGAGAAAACTTTAAAAGTTTGTTAGATTAAATTGTATTGTAAATGACATCCTCTTTAAAGAGACTTAATTGAGTTTTTTTTAAATGAAGAACTCAGTTAAACAAAAATTATAAAAAAAAATCAGAATCATATAAATATAGAGATTAAATTACTAAGTTTAGATAATATTATTTTTACCCACCGTTGAGCGGAAAGTATTGTTTACTCAGTTTTGAGGGCGATGAATTGAGATGAATGTCGTGTTCGTATGAGGAGAAATACGCAGACGAATTTGAAGGTAAAAGCGGGATGACCCTACTGTTCACTCACCTGCGAATGTGGTGAGATTTGGAGGGATCGTTTAGAAAAAGTCACAAGTGCCCCTATATGTGAAACTAATTCCAGTTGCAATTTGTCACTTTAATATAATCGGATATAAGTAAATTGGAATCGATTCCAATTGCATTGTTTAAAATAAAAACACAGCTACGCTACTGCACTTGCACTGTGGACTCACGAGTGAGGAGTAACTTTATTGTGATAAAAGTTGCAGATATTCCTGCGCCTCTGAAGTTGCTTCACACAGCCAATGCACAGAAAAGATTTGTTCCTTCACGAGTGAGGAGTATTTGTTGTTTTCTCGTTGCAAGTTGGTGGTAGATGAAGAAGATAATGTTGATGGAAGATGAAGAAGAAAGTGGTTGATGAAGAGAAGGAGTGTTTGAAGCATGAGAAGATGAAGATGAGCAAAGCGTATTGGGTTCCAAGGGGGATTTATTCGGTTCCAGCTCATGAAAAACAACAAAGCCAAGGTGTATTCGGTTCCTGTGCCTAGTATTCGATTCCACTTGTATGAAGAAGGAGAATTGAAGGTGTATTTGGTTCCATGGCTTTGTATTCGGTTCCAGTGCTTTGAAGAAGAAGAAGAAGGGAAGGTGTATTTGGTTAGCATGGGTTCGTATTCGGTTACCCGTTGTTGAGACAAAAGCCCTCCATTCCCAAGCTATGTATTCGGTTCGCATGGAGGAATTTCCTTACAAGCTTGGTCGTTAAGGCGCCATTTTGACGAAGGTCTACGCATCTAACGGAGCTCGACGATGCAGCGTGGAAGCTGGTTTGAAGGTTGGTGGTGGAAGCCCCATGATCCGTGATGGTGGAGGATGCAGCGACCATCACATGCTCGTTGCAGCACTAGAGGAAATTGTCCTTGATGATGGAGGATGCAGCGTCTTTGATGATGAAGACAAACTTGTTCATGATGAAGACGAAGCCGAGTCTAATGCGTTCCAGTGATTGTACTGCATGCGTGGGAGGAAGCCATGCAGTGCCGAGACATCATGGTGCTCGTGCATCGAGTGAATGTTAAGGTCTTGGGAAGGGGGAGAGGATTCCAACGAATTGTTGGGTGTGAGAGGGTGGCGCGGGAGGGTTGAAGGAGTCGTTGCTGTTGGCACCGGATACCGCCACAGGGTTGAGAAACACAAGATTTCCCGTCGCATGTAAGGGCGGGGGCTACGATGATGCGTCAGAGTAGTGGATGTAGTCTGGGTTGATGAGGACAAGAGTTTGGAGTCCGACTGAAAAGAGAGCACTACCACCACGTTAGTTATGTGAGATAAACTTTCATGGGTCCCATGTGTTTTTTAATAATTGTAAAAGTAGAAAAGTAGTTTGTTTGTACTTGCAAAGTCTTCTACGGCAA